GACGTCAGCGACGCGGTTTAGTCAGGCGCGGTTTAGTCGAGTGCGGTTTTGTGGTGGAACCGAAAAATTGATGTGCATGAATACTTTAGCCAACATCTTCAATAACCATATATCAAAGTATCAAATAAAATATGAACACAATATTTAAAACATTATATCATCCAATTAATTTTTCATTACTCGCTAGTCAAATGTATCAGCTGTGTCCCCACTAGGATGCACTATTTACTGAGCCTGTGAAATTACATCATATTTGTTTGATGCTCTAGTCATCGTCTACATGACAGGATGGTGGTCGTGATTGCATCTTCAGAAACATAATCCCCTTTTTATATTCATGTCATGTTAAAAAGTGCCAGGCAATATATCAAGGCCTTAAATTGCATAGTTATAACCACAGTTTTGGTTCTTGGATGTCTCTGGTCATCAAATAATGAAAATGCACACACCTAGAATACTGCATCCAATTTTGGTCATCACACTATACAAAAAGATGTTAACACTCTAGAAAAAGTGCAGTGAAGCACAACCAAAATGATTAGGGGACTGGACTGGAGGCTAAAACAAGATGAAAGGTTGCAGTAACTGGGCATGGCTAGTCTAGTGAAGAGAAGGACCGGGGAGACATGATAGCAGTGTTGCAATATTTGAGGGGCTGCCAGAAAGAGGAAAAGGTCAAGCTATTTTCCAAAGCACTTGAAGGCCAGGCAAGGAATAATGGATGGAAACTGATCAAGGAGAGATTCAACCTGGAAATAAGGATAAATTTTTCCAACAGTGAGAGCAATCAACTAATAGAAGAGCTTGCCTTCAGAAGTTATAAGAGCTTTGTCACTGGAAGCTTTCAAGAGACTGGACTGCCATTTGTCAAAAATGGTGTAGGGTCTTCTTGGGGGGGGGGGGGGGGGTTGGACTAGATGATCTTCAAGGTCCCTTCCAACTCTGTTAATCTGTATCTAAGATACTCAATTTCCTGTGATGGAAATTGCCTTAAAGAAACTTCAAGAATTAGCTCCATTAAGGATCAATCTACTGGGATCAAGAATACAGCCATAATCTTCCACCAGAATGCATTGTTCTTCAATCAGTATTGTAGATAGAATATATCACATGCTATGAGTAAAAAAAAGCAAAATAAGGAGTTATGCATTCATGGTGTATAGGAGCCTCTTAACTAGTCAATATAGAACTTTGTCTAAGTAATTGCTATGAGTAACCAAATCTAAATGGTGGGCCATATTTGACCCAGGTTATGCTAGAGATATTCCCTTCTAACTCAACACATGGTACAGAGTTGGAACTGGAAAAATTAAAAATTAGATTGCTCATAATCCAGCATTGGGAAAGCCCACTACAATGCCTCTTTTGACCTTACTTATTTTGGGACGGGATGCGGGGGATAGGAAACTGTAACAAAAAACCTCCTGATTTCTTCCCCAATTTTCACTAGCAGCCAATATAGCAGTACCCTTTCCATTCTTAAATGAGAATAAGAGCCGCTGAAATCAATATAACTTAACAAAGAGTAAGCATATGTAGATTTGTTTGCTTTCCTGAACTCTAATTCTACAGTCCCTCTGAGAATATTTATACTTGTGGTTGAGAGGATAGCTTTCCTGTGAATGAATGGTTGTAGATATGAAAATGGGGCTAAATTAATTTTATAAATGGAATGCTATATTTTACAAGCAATTAATCTTAACTGACAGTGATTAGTACAATTCATAGTAATTTAATATTTTGTACTGGCCCTGTCTTTTTTGGGAGCATGGATTCTGGCAAGTGTAAGGGTGTATGTGCATAGCTCAATTGCAAGTATGTCACATGCACACTTTAATTGGAGGAATAAAATCTTCAGGACTGGTCTCAGTGGGAGTTAATAACCCTAAATCAGAAATTATGAAAGCTAGACTGTTTACAGAACATTTCTGTTTATTTATAAGTTTTCTGGGTGGTCAAATATCTTTTATGAGAAATTATCTGAAATTCGTGGTTCCCTAGTAAAGCTGGAATAGGAACTTAACTCACTTGTGATTTCCATAAAACAAATCAGATCAGATGGCTAGAAACACAAAAGGACTCAGGATGGTAACAATAAGATGGAATAGCAATAGCAATAGCAATAGCAGTTAGACTTATATNCACTCCCATCCGGTCACATGGGCAGCAAGCCACTCCCACAAAGGAGGCCACACCCACAGAGTAGGTTCGAATAATTTTTGAAACCCACCACTGCTGTGAGGTAATATGATGCCTCACTTAATGACCACACTGCTTAATGATGATTTTTTTCCAAATATGGTTGTAAAAGATTTACTCCACTACCTAAATTTTTAATATGCTACAAAATCCTTATTACTACTAAAATACTGCTTACTGCATTATGAGGATGTCTCACCACAGATTGCCAGGCAGATTTTTTTTTCTATCCCAAATGAAGACACTCATTTACTGAGCTATGAAACATGTGCAGCTAAACATGTATAAGTCAGTTCCTGGTGTTAGTTTTGTGATTAATACAACTTGAGATGCATAAGTAGTCAAACTGAGAATATAAATCCTGGGAGCACGAAATTATTTTGCTATTTTATAGTCACCAAAGAGGAAAAACTTGTTAAACAAATCTTCAAGAGTATGGAGGGGTGGCTGATTAATTGATTCCCCCTTTATTACGCATCATTTTTTTAATACTTTGAAAGTGGAAAAAGTCCCTAATCACCTTGAACATTTATGTTTCAATAAATAATAAGCTAAAAGTTAAGCATTTCTGAATATAAATTAGACTTTCTTTCCTGGGTGGAACCTATGGGTGGGATTTTGGTAAAAAATAGCATAATCCTGGCATTCTAACAAAGAGACATCATGTTATCTCATGACAAAATATATCTGTAATTAAGTGAAGTCATCTCCCTATAGAACATTAAATCCACTTCACAAGTTTTTAATATTAATATGCAGATGCTTACTGCAGTTCATAAATACACTGAAAAATGACATGTATTAATATCAAGGGTTAGGGTTTTTTTTTACATAATGTGGATAATTTCAGAATCTCTTCTCATCTATGCTTTTTGCACTGCCCATTTCATAATGCCATTCCTTGGGCATTCTAAAAGTAAGATGACTTAGCAAAGAAGAAAAGTTTAATGTTTTTTTTAAAAAAAAACA